GGCTGGGAAGGGCTCCACTTGATGTCTTCCATCTTGGTCAGTTAAGGCAGAGATCCTGCCTCCACACCCCACCCCCAAAGTCCTTTCCTACTTTGGGTGTCCCCTCTGAGAAGGTGGCTGCTTAGAGGGCCTACAAGGCAACTGCATGTGAGGTCATGGGCCATGTTGGTGGGGTGGGAGCCAGTCTCCTTACTGAGATCCCTAACGTGATTGTGTTCTGGGGTGGAGTCTGGACGGTATCTTGGACGCAGCACCTATCCTGGGTGAGCCGGTAATGCTCAGAGTCCAGACTTGCCCCACTGGACCTCAGCCTTCACAGGAGCAGGGGCTGCAGAGGGCTGACCCCCTGGCCTGGCTGCTTCGGGCCTGCCTGACCAGGCAGAGGATGCACAACCACTCCATTGGAATGGAGGACCTGGCTCAGGGAAGGACACCGCCACACCATGCAGACCTGGTTCGGAGCCTGAGGGCGGACAAGGTAAGGACACAGCGAGTGGGACCATACCTTCGTGGGCCATGCAATCTCTTGGGCAGGATTCCAGGACTTGGCTGGAATCCCTTATGATCCATGGCCTATAACCCAACTTAAAGCCAGCATTCATAGTAGGTATGCTATGTGCTGTGGTCTCCCCCCAGGTAAGGTCTCATTCTTGTGTTTGCTGCTCTTAACCAGCCTTCCCCTGATGCACACACCTCCCAGAGCCTCTTCTGTAACCCACATGGCCAGCTTCACCATGCTGCTTCCTCTCTCTCCTTTCCATGTCTTTCAGCATTTTTTTTTTTTTAATGTCTGGCTCCTTTCCAGTATCATTCTTTGCTTTTCAAGGTCACAGTTGCCTCTTTGCTTAAGTCAGATTCATGTCAATATGTTAAGGGTGAGAATAAATGCCATCTAATCCATTTTATTTTATTTCAATTCAGCAAACATTTATGGAGCAATATCATGTTCTGAGCCCCAGAGAAAACTCAAACTTAAACAAAATATAGTCTCTCAAGACTTTATAAAACTAGCACAGATTTTCCTCCAAGGAAATGGTATTAGGATGAGATTTTTAAAATTGTAGTATTAGTAAATATTTATGTAAATGTACACTAGAAATCTCACAAGCACATCAAACTCATGATTTCATAATTTCTATTGTTTAGAATGAGGCTAAAGAAGGTAGTATGCGAAATAAGTCTATTTAAGGAAACATATTAACATATTAAGTAAATAACACAGAAATGACAAAAATTTGTGCAGGTGATGATGGACTCATGGCTAATTTTTGAAGTAGGAGCTCAGTAAGAGAGAAAGATTTGTAGACAAAAGACTCAATCTTAATGAGGAGACAGGAAGATGACAAAGAAGGTTTCATGGAGGAAGTGGCATTAGAGATGGGTCTTCAAAGATAACTAGGAGTTTTTCTAAAGTTGTGAAGGAGAGGCCACCCCACGTGGAGGAAAAAGCATAAGCCAAGACACAAAAGTGATTGAGGTACACAGGGTCCAAGGAGCAGAAATGGGGTTTCAGGGAAGTGAGGCTAGAAGTGGATCATGAAGAGTTAAGAATTAGGTTTTGTTCTTTTTGCCTTTGTGACACATGCAGCTAATATACCCAAAGGAGCTTTCCTCCGGATAGGATCTCCATAGTGTGGGTGAGATCAGTTAAATGGTCAGAAGACTAATTTATGGGAATATGACTGGAATCTAAGAAAGAGAGAGACAGGAGTTAATACCAGAGTGCATCTTCCAGAACAAGCACAAGTAGTGTATTGTGGAAGCTTTGTTTTCTGAGTGTGCATTGAGTTGTGATGGAAAATGGGTGGTAATTCGAAAAGTCTGAAACTCGTGGCTCCCATGTAGGCCTACTCCCACCTTCACTTTGCCCATCAGGCTCTTGTTCAGTCTCCCACGACAGTAGGAAGTTTTGGTCATTGTCAGAGGACGGCAGAGCTGTGTGGGGCGTTTTGTGGTTGAAGGTGAGCTGGTTTTAGAGGTGAGGGAAGGGCAGAGGAAGAGAGAATCTTAAGCAGGCTCTGAGCTGGGTGTGGAGCTCCATTTTATGACCCTGAGATCATGACCTGGGCTGAAATCAACACTCACTCAATTGACTGAGCCACCCAGGTGACCCGAGGGTGAGTTTTTAACCATTTGTGGCCAGCCTGGGTTTTGGTCCTTTGTTAACTGGGTTAGCCAGTCTGGACACATCAGTAGCACTGGCCACATTATTTGTGACTGGGCTGTGTTTGGCAGGGGACTTCTGAGGCCTGAGGCTTCTGTTGCCATCTTGGAATAGTGACAGCATCTGAAGTTTCTGGCTTGAAGTGTGTGTGGGATGGTGCAGAATCAAGGCTAGGCAGGAGGGTGTGGGTTGAAGCCACTTCAAAGTGAAAGGGCTAGCCTAAGTGGCACAGGTTTAAATCAGCTGTGGGAAAACAGGCACATAGCAGCTATTTTTAGTTTGTGTTAGAAACTGTAAAAGCCAGATTTGCTCATAGAGTAGAATAGTGGCTTTGGACTTTTTTAGCTCTACCACTAACTTCTGTGCTGAGTCAGTGGGAAAGAGCCAAGGGAAGATAGTAAGCAGCAGGGCTGGCCCATTGTGGCCTAGTTCAAGTTTATCATCACTATCCCCAAACTCATTTCATCTGAGAGGGCTCCAACCTTGTTGCTGTGCCATCATCCTAGATCTGCTTCATATAATACTCATCCCTCTCTCAAAGTCTGCTCTTGGGGAAAGACCCCAAAATTTCTTATTTGGGTGGAAAAGACTGCTAATAGCTTAAGTTTACCTTTGCAGAAGTGTTTGTACTTCAGTGAAGCTGAGTAACTTAATGTGGCAAAGGAAGCTCTAGCTGGACTCCAACATCTCTCAGGGCAGTTGGGTCCTTCTTGACACAGTTACAGCACAGTATGTAGGTATTCCACCAATGCGCACACTCAGATATAGTTGGGACTACTTAGAACCTGGCTTTTAAGGCTGGAGAGAGCCTGATCAGGTGTCCTTCCTTGATAATATAAGGAAACCAAGATTCAGAGGGATGAGGTTAGTTAGGTTTAACTGGACAGGTGTGCTTTGAGCACTTACTCTTTGCCAGACACCATGCTTGATGTAGGGAAGCAATGATGGATAGGATACAGTACCTACCCTTCACCTTCCCAACACCCCATGTCTATCTGCACAGACTCAGGGTGGGGTCATTGCATCTGCAGGCTGCTCTGTCACTGAGAGCGGATAGGCAGGGCACCAGGATGGGCCATGTTGGAAAAGATGCTTTCATTTGATGGAGCTGTGTGTGACTGGTGACTCGTGATTTGTTTCCATGGAGCCTAGAAGAGGAGCCAGTGGAACAGTAACTGTCCTGTCTCTGAAATCTTGGGAGATGAGGTAAAATCCAGCAGGCAGGGATCAAAAATGCAAACCCCGGAATAGTGTAGCTATAAGCTGCTCTCAGTTCAACCAAATTCAGCAGACATTTGTTGAGTGCTTGTTTGTGCCCATTAGAGAGAAGGATATGAAGATACAAAAATGAATGAGGCCCATTCACTAACATGAGAAAGTCTGTGGCACAGAAGGCTGAGGTTTTTCAGACTGCAGGTGGGTCATAAAATCAGTTCAGCGGATGATAAGCACAATTTAGTGGGGGTGGGGAGGGAAGGGAAGTAGAATAGATATTGAAGTTAGGGGCACCTGGGTGGCTCAGTCAGTTAAGTATCTGCCTTCAGCTCATGTTATGATCCTGGGGTCCTGGGATTGAGCCCTGCTTCGCGCTCCTGGCTCAGCGGGGAGCCTGCTTCTCCCTCTCCCTCTGCCCCTCCCCCTGCTTGTGCTCTCTCTCTCTCTCTCACTCTCTGTCTCTCAAATTAAAAAAAAAAATCTTAAAAAAAAAATTAGTTTTCACCAAAGCATGACTTTCAAACTTTCTTTGATATTATAATCCTCATGAGAATCTGTTAAACATACCTATTATATATACATACCCACTATAAATCATATATGTATATGTGTATGCACTCACAGTGTCTTGTGAAATTTTATATTTATATATATAATTTATAACATGTATTGTGTGTGTGTGTATATATATATATATATTTAACAGATTCTTACCAAGGATTGTAACATCAAAGAAAGTTTAAAAGTCATGACTTACAGTATCTAACATTGGAAGGGCTAATATTTCAGGCATTCGTGCCTATGGTAGAACCCCAACCAATACATTAGTGACAGTGTATCAGTTATCTGTTGCCATAGTGACACTGCATAGCAAACAACACAAAACCTCAGTGGCATCCAACACCAAGCACTGGTTTCTCACATGTTTGCAGGGTCAGCTAGAAAGTTCTCTTCATCATCTGGCTGCCTCACATGTCTGGAAACCAGCAGGTTATCAGCCGATCTAAGATGTGAATGGCTGGGATGACTGGGACAATTTGAGATGACTGTCTCTTATCTTTTAACAGACTACTTAGCATGTATTCATGTTGATGGCATGAGCAAAAGGACCTGTGCAAACACTTTTTAAGCCTCTGTTTGCATCACATTTTCTAATTTTCCACTGACCAAAGCAAGTCACCCAGCCAAACCCAGAGACAAGATGGGAAGGCATGGTAATTTGGCAAAGAACATGGGCCATTTGTACAGTTTGCTGCAACAATGAGCAATGAAGTTGGATTTGCTTTGATTGATTCTCTCCTAGACTACTGGTCTTCCCTTGTCTGATCTTGGTTCTCAATCTCCAGTACCTAGAACTCTAGAAGGCATGGCAGGAGCTTCTCTTCCCTTTGCAGACTAATAGGTAGAAGAATTACAGGGGTAGGCAAGAAAGTGCCTTCAGGAGACAGACTAAAAGGAGACATGGGTTGTGAGTTAGGGAACTGGCACCTCCTGGTGAGGCAGGGCTGGAGTGAAGAACAGTGAGGAGAGATGATGTGAAGAAAGCTCCAGGGCGCCCTGATGACAACTGGGAACATCCCTGCCCTTCTAACTCTACACTCAGTTTAAGGAGAAACATCCAGTCAACTTGGTCCAGCAATGGGAAGGTTATCCTATGTGTGTTGTAGAAGGAAACCAGACTCTTGGTACTGATGTGATCTTGGGTTAAGTTACTTATCTTCTCTGGTCCTCAGTTTCCCCACTGTAAAGGAAGCGGGATGACCATATGGGTTCTAAGATTCCTTCCAGTTCTCCTTCTTGTCTCTTTCCCTGGTTGCCTTGTTCATGGTGCAGATGTGTTGCTTCAGTTCTCATTCTTCCCTCCAGTGATCATGACAGACAGAGTGAATCCATCCTGGCTTTTCCCTGCCAAGAGTGAATATTGTCTCAGAATTCTCAACATAGTACTTGACCATACAGTTAACCAGAATGCACATGCAAGGTCAGCTTTGTCATACTTATTTGGTAAGACTGGAGGAAGAATTTCTGTCTCTGTTTCTCTGTCTCTGTCTCTGTTTCTCTCTTTAAACTACTAGGAGGCCATGGAATCTACCCAAGCAGCTGGAAAAGCAGCAATATATTCATTTTAGATTAATTTAGAGAAGCATGCTGGGAAATGCTTGGGCTTCTCCTTGCAACAAATTTGGATCCTTTTAAAAGCTTACATAAGCTCTAAAATCTCCCCCATTGTGGGAAGTCTTTAATACTCACTGAGGGAAGGGAGAGGAATGACTCTTCCAATGTCACCATACTTTTGACCATATAACATATAACCATAACCGAAATAAGTAAGAATAACTCTAAGTAAAGGGGAATTTGAGGGTCACACTTAAGGTACTAGCAACTTGAGCTGAAATAACCCACTCTGGTTTTTAGTCTCTCCAGAGGAGGAATATGAATGATAGTGAACAGTAAAGGTCTTGAAATCCACATGCCTCTACAATACACTCATCTGTCTGTGTTCCCCTGGGAGCAGGCCCAGAACCTCAGGCAGAGGCTGGGCAGCAAAACATCAAGCTGGGCAGTGAGTGACCCGGTCAGTAGCACAGACAGCCTGTTTTGGGATCCTGGTTTCAGCTGTGGCTAATTGTGCAAAGCTGGGAAATTGCATTGGTCTCCCTGTGCCTCAGTTTTCTGATCTTTAAGCTAGGGATCATAATAAGATCTCCTTTACAGAGTTGTGAAGATTAATGGAAACATGCAGAGAAGGTACCCACTGACCAGCTCACAATACACTCAATAAAGTTTGGATGGTAGAGGCAGTGCTGCCTAAGGCTGCAGTAATTACTTTAAAATTGAGGCTGCTCTTTTAATCTTCCTGCTTCTAATATGGCTAAAACGATCACCTATTTTTTTTTATTTTTTTAAGACTTTATTTATTTATTTGACAGATGGAGATCACAAGTAGGCAGAGAGGCAGGCAGAGAGAGAGGAGGAAGCAGGCTCCCTGAGGAGGAGAGAGCCCGATGTGGGGCTGTTTCCCAGGACCCTGGGATCATGACCTGAGCCGAAGGTAGAGGCTTTAACCTACTGAGCGACCCAGGTGCCTCCACAATCATCTATTTTAGACCCATGGCAGAGGGTGGGTTCCAGAGTTCCTGAGATAGTCACCCAGGTCCCCATCCCCCCACCATTTTCTCCTCTACTTCCTAGGTTAAGCTATGATCCTCTTGCACACAAATGCTGTCCCCATCTAGGTTCACTGGAGAACTCCCTGTAGCCTGCCCCCTTTCCTCTTCATCTGGATGGTCTGCCTCGGGATCGCCTAGATTTCAACCCATAGAACTCCCCAAACCCTCTGGAGTCATTTTCTCTTTCAGAATCTCAAGACCACAGGATCATATCTATTTTCTGAAGCTATAGAGACAACCTCTTAAGGAACAGATTTTCAAAGGATACTTTATTCGATTAATTAGTCAATTCCCTTGTCGTAGATGTGAAATTACCCCTAAACCATCCCGACTGAGGAGACTCTTACAGTGGGAAGCACAGAGATGTTGGGTTGTAACAATAGGAGAGCTCATTTGCAATGCAAATGAGCAACCAGCAGGCGAATGAATCCTTATGGGAAAACCACTCTAATCATAAAAACCACTTGCTTTGGGGAGACTGCAATGTAAGGACAAGCGGAATCATAGCTCCATGAATCTCCTCTAATATAGGATATTAGAGAATTATCCAGGTAATTTTCTATGAAATTGCATTTGAGTAAAGCAAAATGCATTGCTGGGCCATAGATAATATCTTTAAAATTTGACTCCACAATTGTAGACTGAATTATTTATGGTTGTCACTATAGCTATGATAGTTTGGAAATAAAATAGTCAGGCTTTTCTCCCTGTTTTTATTTGTAGGAAAACAAGTCATTCAAGCTTTTTAGTGATACAATGTGACTTGCTGTCGATGGCAGTTACGAATTTTCAAGCTCTGCCAAGCACAGGAGTACCCAGAAGGGACATATGTTTTCTCTGCTTTGTGTTCCAAATTTGCCTTAAAAAACATGCAATTATGTGAAGGCCTGATTTATATTTTCAAGGAAAAGCACAATAATGGCTCTGTTTTGTAGCCGTGTTTCTCCAAAACGTATTTATTTTGCTGCCTTTTCAAAAGAAGTTGGCTAATGATCATTGGTTTTTCGATTTCCGTCACGACATATGAAAATTTGATGAGGTCTGTGAGATTTAAGAACTGTTTTTCTTAAGTGCAATGGAAATTTAGTTAACATAGTTTTGTACTGCAAGCCTGAAAAATACTTACCTTTCATCCATTTCCTTATTTTTGTGGAAAGTGGGAGAAGGGGATGCAGGAAAATCTCCATTTGTATCTAGGATGGAACAGAATGACGACAATAACAAATAGGAAACCTCGAAAGATCTGAAGATCAGAAGTCTGTATGAGGGTCATGAGTGTAGGAGGAAGTGGGGAGGGATAGAATATTTTCTGGGGATGGGTCTGGGGAGAAAGTCAGGCTTTTTGGGTACATTTTATACCTAAATGAAAATTACCATAAAGCACTTTATAAATTACATAATCCCTCTGGCAGTAGATTTCACATCCTTCATTACTACTATTAGTGATGGCGTTCACACTACTCTCTCAGCAGCATTTCTAGTAAATTTATTGAGAGAAGATGAGCTTGTCTCTTTCTGGATTGGGGAGCCCCCTCCTGGGAGGTAGGGCAATTTTTTGGTTGTTTTTTTCTCTTTCAGTAATGGAAGTAGAGAAAGGTCAAAGGCCAATTTTACATAATAAGGGAGTTAGTGGACAAATAATTACACAGTATAGAATATTAGGAAATTTTGAAGCTAAGAGGAAAAGGTATCAGGGGCAATGGAAACACAGAAGTATAACATATATATGTAATGTTTTGATTGCCTTGTACAAATCTAGAGTTATTTTGTTAGTTTAGGAATACAAATATCTTATTAACATATAGGCTCATAAAGTATTTATATTGTATATTTAAAATCATAAAGGCTCAGAAAAATGCAATGTAAAAAAATAGAAATAATAGCACGTCTTCCCCATAATTTTTCAATCTTAAGAGAAATAATTTTAAAATTCTTTAAAATATTCTTTCACCTCCTGGCACTCACATCTAGGGTGCAGGAAGGGAAGTCACATGCTTTTAAAGGTACCATCTTGTTAGGCCTCAGATTCACATACCTTTTTCTGATACATGTTGTGTGTAAGCCTGGTAAACTCTCATCTGCTTTTTTGGATCTAGAGAAGGTTTGGTCCAAGATGATTTTGAATTCATTCAGTGGTCATAACTTTTGTTGGCTAAGTGAAATGGCCCCTCAGTGTGATGGAATCATCTTTCATACTATTGAGATCATTCCCCTAGTCAGCCTTTTAATATTACCCTTCAGGCCTTGCCAAAACAGCCCTACAGGGAAATTTTAATAGAATTTTCAGGTGGAGTGTTTTCCCATTCTAGAGTTAGGTTTCCAATTTTGTTCCTTGATAAAAGCAAATAAAAAGTAATTATGGGTCTGTTCAAGACAGAATTTGAAAGGTACTTCAATTTTATAAAATGATGGGTCTCTCAATGGCTTTGGTGTCAGTCTGAGTTTTATGGTAAAGGCCATCACCTTGGAAGCTGGTCAGAGTGATTTCAGAGAATGATCCTATTGGGGAAATAGCCAGTTCCATCCTTTGCTATCTTCCTTAAGACTTATGAGATGATGCACAAACACCAGAGCTTAACTTGGCTTTACCCACTGGTCACAGTTTATTCATTCATTCTAAGCCAGAAATTTAGAGATTTTCAATAATGAAAGCCAAATTGTTGAGATAGTAGCTCAGAAACTGGAGGCGATAGGAGACATCCTCTGGTGGTCTGTTTATTGAGCTAAGGACAGGTGACTAAAAGACAGCCCATTTCCCTAACACCAAGAACCTCTAGACATAGCTTCAGAAAATGTACCCCAGAAAAAGAGAACCCCGATAACTTCTCTCTAGACCTCTTCCTGGTTTAGCCTGGGGTGAGACAGAATGGGGTGGAATGGGGGAGAACACAGAGGACATGGCAGAAAGCAAGTCTAGTGCACAGGTTGCCTGACAGGAGAGAATCTTTGGACTATGATGTAGCAAAATATTTTCAATCTCCCTTTTCCCATTTCCATCCAGGTCATGATAAGTTTGTGCCCTTCTCCTTTCCTCCTACTACCTCACCTCTTCCTTCCTTCCAGTCCCATCCAGCCAACCTTCCTCCAGAACTGGGGACTGAAGAGTCAATTGAATTGGAGTAGAAACTAGGAAAAATGTGGGTTGGAATAGCCTAAGTATTACTCAGGGGCTCAGCTATTTCATGGGCCTCTCATAAAGAGAGAAACAATGGGTTCCCAGAAATTGCATTTTATGGGCATTATCATTAGTATTATATGTTTTTAAATTTATTTTCTTTTTGTTTTGATAAGATCGAACATCAAGTGACCTTAGAAGAGCTACAGAACTTGAGTGCACTCTTTCAGGTAGGAATTGACCAGGTGAGCTGTCTAAATATTCATCTGGGTAATTTGATTCTCCCCTTGATGGTTTCAGTGAAAAGTGCAATCCTTTTATTTCCTATAAAATAGCAATGAAGAATAAATTCACCTTAATTGTCATTTTTTAATGGAATTAGAAACAAGTTGTGAATGCATCAGAGAAATGAACGAAAGAAATACTATGTTAGAAGTTGACAGGGTTTAGGTAAGTCTAATTAGACATTCGATCCTTTGGGCTCTTACTCCTAGACTAAACAAAATGCAGCTATGTTCATCATTAATTATTCTTTTTCCCTCCTAGGAGTATGAAAAGAGAGGAAGACAGCTGCTGGACATGGAAACTTTCAAATGCATAATGAAACAGAGTATGAGGTCACAGAATAAAGTAAATGGATTTTATAAATGTTGGATGATTGAAAACCACAGTTAAAACTTTACCTGTATGAACCAATTAACCTTGATGTTCTATCTGTAAGATCACTCTCAGCTCTAAACTGTGATTTCTGCTAGTACCTACCTGATTCACAGAACAGTTTACCTGGGAAAATATTTTTTAAATTATTGAAAATATGCTAGACCAGCAAGATATTTAGAGACTTTTATTGAAAAGGAGAGAAAGGCTCTTTCTCTATCACTAATTATTTCTGTAGATGGTCCCCAACCTAGGATGGTTTGACTTTAAGATAGTGTGAAAGCCATGCAGTTAGTAGAAACCATACTTTGAATCTTTATCTTTCCTCCAGAGCTAGTGATATGCAGTCTGATCCTCTCTCATGAGGCTGGGCAGCAGCCACAGCACCCAGTCAGCCATGTGCTCACAAGGGTCAACACCTGACAATGCACTGAGAACCATTCTGTACCCAGGCAACCATTCTGTTTGTCATTTTCAAAATAGTATTCAACACTCCATCATAAAACAGACTTTGTATTAGAAAATGTGGCCCTGCTGGAGACTAATGTTTAAGGTGGGCTAGGCTAAGCTACGATATTTGGTAGGTTAGGTATATTAAATGTATTTTCCACTTACATTATTTTCAACTTAGGATGGGATCATCAGGTTGTATCCCATGAAAACTTGAGGAAGATCAGCATACCTATTATTTCCAACGAGTGTGGATCCCCCTTCAATACCCGGTCTGCTGGAATGAAACAGTTTAAACATACCCTCTGCCATATTGTTTAGCCCGGTTATTAACTCAAAATATGAAATCTTAATGAACGGCTATTCAGGCTCCTATAACAAAATACCACAAACTGGGTGGCTTACAAATAACAAGCATCCATTCCTTACAGTCCTAGGGACTAGAAGTTTGAGGTCATGTCAGATGAGGGCTCTCTTCCAGGTTATAGACTTTTCCTTGTGTCCTCATGTAGCAGAAGAGACTTGGGAGCTCTGTGGGATCTCTTTCCTAAGAACACAGATATCATTCACAAAGCCTCCATCTTCATGACCTAAGGACCTCCCAAAGGCCCCACCTCCTAATACCATCACATCCGGCATTAAGACTTCAACATATGAATTGGGGTGTGGTGAACACAAACATTGAGTCCATAGCAATAAATAAGGTTTTATTCCTGAGATAAAATACACATTACAAAATGAGAAGCTCTTTAAGTACTACTTGCTAGGTTTCCTGATTACATCTTAAATTATATATAAAAACAAACTCAAGGTAAACCTCTTTGATCTTGTCCCTGAGATTTGAACAAAAACATGCCCCCTTTTAAGTGCAAAGCCCAGAGTTTCAAGGGCTACAATACAAGTTTAGGTGTGTTTAAAAGTTCTTCTACAATGAGAAGTGATCATTAAATGAAACTATTTTTAAACAGTCTCCCCTCTATTTGTGCAATACCATACAAAGAACTTCTGTTGGGAAGAGAGAAGAGTGTTTCAAATGGATAAATTCCTGGGTGTTTTACCAACATTCTAGATCTTTTTAACCAAAGCAGTCTAATTATCTATATTTTTAGAATTCCTGCCCGCCTAGTCAGCCACTTATTCCCTTATCCTCTCATTCATTCATTTATTCACTCATTCATTCATTCATTCATTCATTCAGTAAATCTTTACTGGGGCAATATTCACTTAGTAAATATTTACTAAGGGGCTTTGTTTTAGCCCCTGTGGCACACAGTCAAGATACAGCCTAGAGCCACTCTAGAATTAAGCATGGTTGTTATGAGGGCATGTCAACCAGACCAGGAAGTCAGACCTGAAGGAGTTAAATCTTGGGCTGAATTTTAAGGGATGAAGAGAATCACTGCATGAATGAAGGAAAGATGGGCAAGGCCTGCAAGAAGGAACGGCATTCCCAGAGGCTCAAAGACAAGAATCAGCATGATGCCTGTTGCATGTGTGCAAAGGAATGTGGAACAAGGATCAGATTATTTGGAACCATTTGTACTAAGCTTAATTTTATGCAGTGTATCACCAAGGAGCCATGAAGCCATGTCTTTCTTCGTTTATTTATCAAACAATTAATTGATTTTTGACTATATGACCATACTGTCTTAGGGTCTTTTCATATTTCATTAGTCTCCAGAATATCAGAATAACTTAATTCAGAAGGCATTGTTATTCTTATTTTGTAACTGAAAAGACAGAGGTTTAGAGAATCTGAATAACTTGCCTGAAGTCCCTCAGCTACTAAGGAAAGCATCCGGGATTCAAACTCTGGTCTACAACTAATGCTCAGTATGTCAGTTAGCATTAGGTTCACCCACAGAGTGACAGAAAATGCTAAGCCACCAAGACTGAAGCAAGGTAAATATTTTCTCTCATTTAAAGAGTCAGGTGGTCGGGCGCCTGGGTGGCTCAGTGGGTTAAAAAGTCAGTTGGTCAAAAGGGCCTCATGAAATCATCAGGACAGACTTGTCCTGCTTTGCTGCTCTCCCACCTTCAGCACGTGGACTCCTTTTCATGGCTCAAGATGACGGCTTGGACTCTAGCCAACATGCTCTCATTCTAGGCAGCAGGCAGGGAGAAGAGGCAAAGAGAGATCTACTCCTTTCCTTTAAGGACAATTCCCAGGAGCTCCCTGTGACATTTTTAACTTCTTTAGTCAGAAATTAATCATATGTCATATCTAGCTGTGAAAGTTGGCAGGTAAATATGGTCTTTTTTTTCTGAGGAGGCATGTATCAAGTTAAAAGTTGCATGGAGCACTGGGTGTGGTGCAAAAACGATGAATACTGTTACGCTGAAAATAAATAAATAAATAAATAAATAAATAGACAGATTAAAAAAAAAAAAGTTCTTTAGTAAGGAAGAATGGCTAAGAGGAACAACCAAAGCCCCAGGTCTTCACCACTATTCTAGGGTTTCATGTTTTAGTACTGGCTAAAAACCAGGAAGTATCTTCTTTGCTCTTTCTAGGAAATGTTAACTTAATCAAAAGCTAATGCCAAAAAGGGGAGGGAGGACACGAAAGAATAACATTTAGGAAGAGCATAGTGTATAGGGTGAGCATTTTAGACAGAGGTGGCATCTACAGGAAGAAGGGTCTTAGTCTCCAAGTCCACTAAGCCTTCAGTGTTGGGGGGAGCAGAGAGAGTAATGACCTATTTTCTTATTTCTATACCTTTACTATACTTTGCCTAGAATGCTCTCCTCCCCTCTCTTGCTTAAGTAATGACTCTCTGAATTCTGATTTTTTTAGAATATTCCAAGAATCTAGCACCATGTTTGGCACATGCAGGTGCCCAGTAAATGTTGAATGAATGAATGATGTTAAGGAAGTTCAGCCATTGTGGACTTGAAGGGGTATATCCTAACTTCCCTAGAAATTAATAGATGCTTCTCCTTTTAACCTGATAGCCATCTATAACTACCTGTAGCACAGAACTAATCATTTTGTCTTACACTGTTTGCTTGTTTGTGACCCCACTATACAGTGAATGCTGTGAGGGCAAGTAACACACCTTTCAGTTCTGAGGCCTCAGCATCTGGCTCAGGACTTGGCATACCATTGGTGTTCAACCTGTGCTTCTTCTGTGAGTGAATCCATGTGTGGAGGAAGCAGTCCAGTTTTCCTTAGAATCCCACATAATCATGTTGAGAAAACAGTACCTTGGGCAGAGCCTAATTATTCATAGACACAGGTCCTCCACCACCAAAGTGAGACCATCTGGTGGCCCATGCCCTGCCTGAATCCTGCCGTGGCTTGTGACACTGCATGACCCTTGCCTGATATACCTTGTTTGGAGTTCCAGGATGCCCAGGCATGCCCACAGCTCTCCCACGCACTGCCTTCTGGAGACAAGGTGGTCTGAGTGGGCATCTTGAGCCCAGGCAGTGATTGCTTTCATCCTGAGCTTCTCTGTTTCCCATTCCTTCTGTGGCCCTATGCTCTTCTTGAAGTTATCCCTCTGGGTGTTTTGGTTTGTTTGGGCATTCATTTCAAAAACATTTGTTGTATATTATGTGCATGGTATTGTCTAGTTGCCATGGTGAAGTCTGCACTGTCATCCTCAGAGGAGTATGATGTGTCTCCATCTGAGCCTGACTTAGAGGGAAGTGGGGCTGAGCTGAGGTCCACAGCCAGGGCCTTTCCTCACAACCCCTCCACTGGCACTGAGTGTTGATTCATCAAGGGGCAAAGCCTTGGTGTCTTGAACATCAGGCATCATCTTATTTTCTCCCTTTTACTGTCATTACTACACAATAGCAAATACCCATGGGACTTATAAGAGAAAAGCCAACATCTTACTCCCCCAAAGAGACATATAACCTTATTATTTCTGTGGAAGGTACCTTCCATATATATTCCTGAAATTACAGAATATTGGGGTTTCAAAGGACCTTATATAGTATATAGCCCCTTCAATGCTCACATTCTCTTCTTTGCTAAGCTCTGAGTCAGCATACACTTGAATACCCCCAGCTAACAAAAACACAATGCCTTACAAGGCAGTCCATTTCAAGGTTAGAGAACTCTGATCTTGGAAACCTTCCCCCCCTTGATGAGCTGAAATTCGTCTTTCTTGACATTCTACCCATTAGCTCAATTTCTATTCTTTTGAGCTGCCATAGCAAATTACAACAAACTTAGTAACTTAAAACAGATACATATTTATTATCTTACAGTTTTATGAGTTAGAATCAAATCATGACTTAGCTAGGTTCTTTGCTTTAGGGTCTCTCATGAGGCTGCAACAAGCTGGTAACTATGGCTTGTGTCTCATCTGAAACCTTGACGGGGGAAGGATCCACTTCCAAGCACATATGATTGTTGCCAGCAATCAGTTCCTTGCTGGCTGTTGGCCAGAGGTTGTCCTCAGTTCCTTGCCATGGGGGCCTTTCTATATGGCAGCTCATAACAGATCAGCTGGTCTCATCAAAGCCAACCAAGGAGAGAGCCTGTTAGTAAGACCAAAGTTAGGATC